AATGTCTATAAAATAATCTTTTCAGCAAAAAAATTGTCAGCAAATTAAGGTGTCAAAAAAATGATTGTCAGTAAAATGACCCAGACCCATATATATTTGGGTCTGAATTTAAGCAGGATGTGGTGCACTTATGGAGATTTCACTGTATTATTAATTTATATAGTTCATATTTTTATAATTACTTTTTATATAAGCATAATTCTTTATAATTGCAAAATTGCTTATAATAATAGTATAATTGTATAATAAAAGTCTTAAAATACTTTTTTAAATAAATAAATATATATATATTATATACAGTAAAAGGGTTTAATTTTCTTTAATTATATTTCTATTCTTGTTTCTTTACCAGTTTTCTTATCATTTACCAATTTCATTACCTTTTTTCAGTTTCGTCACCTTTTAGCAGTTTTCCAATTTTGCTGGTTTCGTCATAACACTATTTTAAATTTGATTTCAGCTAAGTCAAAACTAGTTTCGACTTTTGCCTGTGGCAAAACCTCTAGGCTTTGCCTAACAACACTAGGATGAGCCAAAATTTTTTTTAATTTTTGGCCATGATTTAAATCACAATGATATGAATTACTGTACTGGTTTTTGGTTTAAATCAATTTAAGCATGATTTAAACCATCTATAATTTAAATGTACGCTAAGTTAAATTATCTTGAAACTGTAATTGTTCCATATTTCGAAAAGAGTCTATACATTTGAAAATGTGGCACACGTGAAAATTTGCTGAATAATTACTCTAGACGATCAGTCGATGGAGGTTAAATTGTCGTTGAACTCACCTGATAGATACTAACCATCGTGCACGTTTGGGCAATACCCAGGTGAAAAAACTCGTAACGTTTATTAGATTTTAATAATTCTTAAGTATGTTGGTGAAGATATTTGGTCTGAATACTGCGAGGATTAATTATAATTTTAAATTTTAAAAAGACATATCTGTGTACATAACGATAATTGATAAGTCTAGGATCACATGTTAATTGTTATGTAAGAACGATAAAGATCAAATTATTTAAATCAAGAATAAATCACAGAATTCTTTTACGTTATGCTTAACATTTCCTCCTGAAAATATCAGCCTCAAAATATAAAACTTTATTGTCGCTTTAGCATACATTTTCGAAGATTATTAGTACGAGTTAAAATATTATACTAATATTGCTAAATACGGATAATCAATAGTTTGAAGGATAATACTGTATAAATGTAGCGGGTGTGATATCACTTGTATATGTTCGATCCTTCACGCTGGAGTGTATAAGCTCCATTTCAAATCATTTTATAACTCCAATTAAGTTTATAAATTTTTGGAACATTAATATGATTCCAAAAATCAGCTGTCATGATCAGGAATCATGAATTTAACTTGAAAAGAGTCTCGCAAACCTTTCAAATATATTTAAATGTTAAAATCGTATTCTGGAATATTGCATTGGAAGATATTAGTAAATATCATATTGTACTTTACCTGTAGTGTCAATAGACGTATAAGAATTTAAAATATTTTTGGTGTCAATAAGCCTACTTGTATATACAGCGTTTGGATGAGTTTGTGAAGTAAATGATAGAGTTGGAATGATTTTATCTGCTGTCAAAAATTCATTTCTGACTTTAAGGTCATTTTCGTCCAGAAATCTTGGCTCCTTATCAAGAATTGACCACCAAGTATTTATATCATTATATATTTCATTAGTAGTTGGTCTCTTTGTCGGATCAGCGTTCATGCATCGATTTGATAATTGAATATAACAATCTGGCATTCCAGGTGCAAATTTTGGTCTTAATCCATTTATGATTTTTTGCATGAGCTCTATATCATGCGATTCATCACCAAATGGCGGTCTACCAGTTGACATCTCAGACATGATTACACCAAAACTGTATATATCTGATTCTTTTTTATATCTTTTATTAAACAATACTTCAGGAGCTTCATATGGTAATACACCATATATTTCTCCGTATATAGTTGAACGGTCAATCTTCTTAGATGATCCTAAATCATAAATATGAGTTTCTATTTTTCCCACATCATCGCTGAAGAGAAGTATATTGCCACTATGAATATCCCTATGAATATATCCCTCATTATGTAAGTTTACTAAATCTGATATAATTGAACATAGAATTTCTAACTTTTGTTTCCAACATAGAGTAATAAAATTATTGGTAAGGTAGTGTTTGAGATCTCCCTCATTTGCATATCGAAAAACCATCATATATTCTTTTGTATGCATGCTACAAGTTATTCCATATATCTCAACGTTATTTTTAATATTAGCTTCAACCTATTATGATAATAATCTCGGATTAAATTTAGCATTTGATGATTATGTAAACATGAAATATTTAAATAAATACCTCTTCCAAAAAAAATGTCGACCTATCATGAGTCCCAAAAAATTCTTTAACCGCAACGGTTTTATTCTTATAAGTTGCTGAATATACAGTGCTGAAACCTCCTTTACCAATTTCTTTAATATTTTTTAGATCATAAAAGGGAATCCGTTGAAGTTGAGAACTTTCTATAAAATTATTAATTTCTCT